GGTCCTGGATCACATCGCCTGTGGCAGATTTCAGAGGAGCGTTCTTCTTCTGGATTGGGCCGAGGGCCTGCTTGATGCCGTCATAATTCCTTTTACATGCCTGTATCTGCTGCATTCCCAGCTTGGTTTATAGTGAGTGAATGATGGACAGAATATGTCAGGCTGACTGGTGGAAGGAGAAGAGAGTTAGGATAGTTGTATAATTGAATTCAGATTCCCAGTTAATATTGTGAAGTGCATTTGTGAGATTGCTGCTTCACTGTGTAGTATGAAGGTGCGTTTCTTGGTGTCTGTCCATGTTTGCTCTGAGGAAGGTAGGATAGTGGTCCGTTGTTCTATCAGTGATTATACCAGATGCAAGGGGAGCTGTTATGTTAGTCCATAAGGGTTCCAATCTAGTAGTGGATGTTTAGAACTACTATTCTAAATTATTCTACTATAGTGGATGTTTGAGTGATTCGGGTGGGCTTGGTGATTGTGGGGACTAGCATACAGGAGTTCATGCTGTTTAGGAAATAATTGACCTGAGGGGTTATTTTGTTGATAGGGGTCAATATTGAAGTCACCTCCTGGAATGATATGATTTTTGTTGTTCTTGTTGTTTATGATAAGATTCCTTATGATATCTGAGAATGCAGTTGTATTAGTATCGCGAAATCTATAGATAGCTACAATAGTCAAGGGGAAAGTTAATGGAGAATTTAGCAAAGGTATATTCACAGTAGTCGTCTCTATCACTAATGACACTGTTGCAGATGAAGGTATCATGGTAATATACAACTGTGCCACCACCTTTTTTGTTAGGGCCTACAGTTGTGAATGACTTTATAACCAGTTAAGTTGTAAAGTTGAGTATGGTCTTTACTTGGCCACGTTTCTGTTAAACCAATGAACGATAGTTTAGTACCTAGTGCTGTGAGTAGTGCTTTTATATCATCAAAATCTTTACCAATTGATCTGACATTTTGGTTGAAAACTGAATGGCAAGTGTTATTTTGGAGTTTGTATTTAGCAAGGTTTGCTGTGTAATATCTGCATTAATGATGATCAATATGCAGGTTATTGTAGATTTGTGAGAGGAGATTTAGTTCGGGGTCAATATCAGCTTGCATGTAGATACAATGGAGTCAAGATACTATGAAGAAAGCGATATCAGAACAGTAAAATACTAAATCTGCTGTAAATCTACTTGCTATAATTTTTACAAATTACAGCAGAATTTAGATTGATAATCAGCAATATTAAATATTAAAATTATGCAAATGGAATAAATGTAATAGCAAATAACAATACAATAATTGACAAATGAGGAAATGAACAATATAAAATGGGATAATCAAGAAAAGAAAAAATGTAAAAATTAAAACTTTTTAGAATGGAAAAGCAAAGCTATAGTACACCTTGGATGTTGGATGAAACTATAAGTTACACTCTGGGGTTGAGATAGGAAGAGGGTTCACTTGGCAAATCGTCAGCAAATAGTATAGGTTTAAGAATGTTAGAGACATTAGGCAGATCATTCATGTAAATAAGAAATAGGAGAAGTCCTAGGATGCTGCTCTGTGGCACTCCTATGGGTATTGATAGAATGGGGGGAGGTTATATCATTGATGGCTACATATTAGTGTCTGTCACTAAGATAGGATCAAATATAGTTCAGGGCTAGGGCCTCGGATTCCTTAAGGGTGAAGTTTAAGCAAGAGGTAGTCATGGTTTACAGTATCAAAGGCCTTTCCCAGGTCAGTGAAGAGCCCAATTGGGAACTCATTTTTTGTCAAGGAGTGTGTTCATTATATCAAGCAGACTAATAATTTCATCGTTTTGGGAGCGGAAGCCAAACTAATAGGGACTTAATATGTTGAATTTTACGAAGTTAGAAGTCGAGCTGTTTGTAAATAATTTTTCAAATATTTTTGATAATATAGGAAGATTTTATATTGGTCTGTAGTTGTTTATTGTTACAAATGAGGGTGCCGTGTAGGGTCAGTGTTTAAGGTAAGGGAGTTACACTTACTAGGGTTAGGTAAGGCCCGGCTCCCAGGGAAAACATTTCCCAGTAAAAGAAATGGAAGACCAAATATGGTCTGTTGTCTAGAGTTGAGTGCCTAACCTGGTATACAGTACAGGTGATAGAAAACTCCAGTTATAAATTACTTTAATATAATTTATTAACCTGAACCCCCCCCCCCCCACCCCCCAAGTACAAAAAAATCTTTACCTCTTCGATCTTACGTTCTCCCTCTGAATCCATATAGACAGGAGACGAGAGTTACATACAGCAAACTACAGGTAGGGTCTACGTTTCTTAATTAAGGGACTACACACACTTCTTAACTTAACATCCTAATACCAACAGGTGGTCACTAGTCAGCCGCAAAGAGTGAATCACTTGGAACTCAAAATAAGTAACTCGGACACAGAGACATTACACTTAGAACAACTAATGTCACTAACAAATACACATGTATTTATCTTGATATTTAAAGAATAAGGAGAGAAGATAATGGAAGGAGGTAAAAAAGAGATAGTCACACAGCCAAAAACGTCTGGCCAGAGTCGTGTCCAGATGAAGACGACACTTTCTCACAATGTGGCTGCTGCCTGAACCATTAAACTGATCATACAGTAACTATTACATATACTCCAATACAAATATTTACTTGCCATTAATCAGTTCTAAACATAACTAACGTCCTAGCTTTACAATATATTAGCATTATATTAACGCAGTACTACAACTGTAAGCATCAAGGTGCTCCTGCGTATGGCAGGGAAACTGTGACTGTCATGAGGTTTGTCCTCTTGAATATTTAAATTGTTATAGAGTTCACTTCTCCTTAAACTCCAACCTAACTAACAAACTCTGTAATTTAACTAATTAAAATTCCACACATAATTCAGAACATTCAAGGCTTATCACTAAAATACCATTTATGTCTGCTGTTTCCCCTCCTTTATGAACTGGCGTCACTCGTGTTTTTTAAGGATATCAGGGAAAGTATGACTCGCTAGAGATTTGTTGAATAGCAGAGCTATGGGTGGTGCAAGGGCAAGGGAGGCACTCCTGTCTATGATAGATGGTACTTCACTAATATTCCCCAGCTTGGTTTTTTAGTGAGTGAATGATGGACATAATATATGAGGCTGACTGGTGAGAGAGGAGAAGATAGTTAGGATAGTTGCCAGGAAGGTATCTAGTGACGTATGTCTGGGTCTGGGATTTTTCTGCCAAGGTTAGCACCAACTGATGAAAAGAAGCTATTAAATTCTGTTGCCGTTTCTAAATGTGTTGCAGGTGTATAACCATCCTTGGAGAGTTTTATCTGCTTGATATGTGATTGCTGTTTAAGCCTAGGATGTTAGAGATGGCTTTTCATGTTTCCTTTTGCTTCTTTGAATCTACTCTCATAATAGGAAAGTTTTACTCTTATTATACTGGTAAGCATTGATAAGTATCTCTTAACTACTGCTTTTGTAACTAGGCCAGTCCTTAGTTTTTTCATATTCATGTTTCTTGTTGATTGCTTTGAGTATGCCACTTGTGAGCCAGGGATTGTTTAATCTTTTGGCAGTTACTTGTTTGGGGAAGAGAGGACAATGAGTGTTGTAAAGGCTTAGAATTTAGGAAAGGAACATGTTGGCTAATGAATTTATATCCTGTGTGTGATTTAAATCAGATTCCCAGTTTATATTGTGGATTGCATTTGTGAGATTGCCTATTGCTGCTTCACTGTGTAGCCTGAAGACACGTTTTTTGGTATCTGGTGGTGTTATGTCCATGTTTGCTATGAGGAAGGTAGGATAGCGGTCAATTGTTATATCACTGATTATACCACGTGCAAGAGGAGCTGTTATGTTAGTCTATAAGTGATCCAAGGTAGTAGCAGATGTTTTGGTGATTAGGGTGGGCTTGATACTTGTTGGGATTAGCATACAGGAGTTCATGCTGTTTAGGAAATAGTCGACTTGAGGGCTATTTTGTTGACACAGGTCAATATTAAAGTCACTTCCTAGAATGATGTGATTTTTGTTGAGCTTGTTGTTTATGATAAGATTCTTTAGGTTATCTGAGAATGCAGTTGTATTAGTATTGGGAAATCTATAGATAGCTCCAATAGTGAAAGGGGGATTTAAGGGATTTAATCGATAATTGAGCAAAGGTACATTCACAGTAGTAGTCTCTATCACTAATGATACTATTGCAGATGAAGGTATCTCGGTAATATATAGCTGTGCCGCCACCTTTTTTGTTAGGCCTACAGTTGTGAATGGCTTTATAACTGACTAAATTGTAAAGTTGGGTATAGTTTTTAATAGCCATGTTTGTTACAATAACGATAGTTTAGTACCTAGTGCTGTGAGTAGTGCATTTATATCATCAAAATGTTTACCAAGTGAAAGACATTTTGGTTGAAGACTGATAGGCAAGTGTTATTTTCGAGTTTGAATAAATGTCTTTTACTTATTAAATGACACCTGACTTTATTTGTGGCTTATCTTTTGGTGATCAAGTGCTATACAGTTCTAATGATAGTGGGTGCACAGGCTGGCCAATTGCTTATTAAAGTGAGCAAATCAATGGAAGGTGAAAAGCAGTGAGGGGAAACAGGGATTACAGATGTGATACAATAAATATATCTTTGCCATTAATCTTTTTGCCAATAAGTTTCCTCTTATCCTGGTGTCTTATCATATTGTCAGTAAGTACTTTGTTCTCTCAACAAATAAACATAGCAATTGATAAACATTCTTTAATACAAAAATCATGTAAAATATTTTCACCAAATATAAATAGACTGTATGAGGTAGATTTGTTATTAAATTGAGTTATATAATATGCAAGTCACAGCAAAATTAATGATATGAATAATTGATACATTTTAATATTTCCATAATGTTCTTAATTACAATTGCTATTACAAAATTTTGGTCATTTCTTACACTATTTTTTGGAAGTCTAATGATATATCATTAAATAATCTTCATATTTCATGATTATTTTAGGTACATTCTACCACTTTCAATATACCTTTTGATATATCCTTTATGGACTTGTTCACATCAAATACTTCTTTAGCCACCTCCTTTAAGACTGCTGGCACTTTATGTACAATGTCTATATGATTTTCATGCAGAATTAACACTTGCTGTGTTGCATGTTCTGCAGTCATTTTCTTTTTACCTGTATGCGTACTATAGACTGAAGCTTCTGTCTCTGACCGGGTACGGGTCTAGCCCCCTCTGAAGCGCACCATTATCGGGTAAATAATGATACCCAAGGCTCGGTACCAGAACTATTGCACATTACTGAAGAAGGATTTCCGTCTCTTCCTGGTATAAGAAACCAGGCTGGGAGTGGGGTCTGACCTAGAGTGAAGCCCTCAATGATTTTCGCAACAATACAATACAATAACGCTGCCCGAAACGCTGGGCGTACTAGTGGCTTTACAAGATTGTAAACATCATGATATGTATCCCCACAAACCCAATGTACCTTCTTCTTGACGTTATCTTGAGATGATTTCGGGGCTTTTTTTTTTTTTAGTGTCCCCGCGGCCCGGTCCTCGACCAGGCCTCCAAATACCTTCCTTATATACCTTCTTGTATATAAATAAATAAATAAATAAGATACAGGATAAGATACCCGTAGGGCGAGCCTTAAAGTGTGGACAGCTGAAGAGAAGACGGTGAGAGGAAGTGCTGAAGTTGTAGAACAAGAGCAAGGGTTAAACTAAGCTGTTGTCTGGAACAACCCCACAACTGGGTAGGCTCTTGAGTCGGGTCAGGAAAGGGCGGCAGTGCTAGTGCTTCTTTCTTCTAGATGGTGACATTTGGTCTTCTAGTGCTGTCTTATTTCTTCATTCTTCTGTCTTCTTTCTTCATGAAACTAATTTAATACCTTCATACTCAGTAAAAATACGTTTTTGAAAATAGTATTATGTTTGGGAGTGAGCCAGGATTCGGTTATGAAAGCCAAGTCTGGTTTTGATGAATTAAGGAATTGTTTAAGTTCTGCGAGGGATGTTTAAATGCTCTTTGCGTTCCAAGTCATGAAGGTTAGGGGAGTCATTTAGGATTTATTAGATTTATTATATTTATTTATTTATTTATTTTTTTTTTTTTTTTTTATTTTTTTTTTTTATTTATTTATTTATACTCATAAACCCAATGTACCTTCTTGTATGAGTATACATAGCATGGTGTTTACATTCTTGTAAAACCACTAGTACGCGCAGCATTTCGGGCAGAAAGTTTGTGTTATGGATGCATCTGGTTTCCTCGGCATGCCAATTGTACTTGTCGGAGACCTGGATGTGGATGGGGGTTGTGTCGTGGGAGATTGTGGTTCGAGTGGTCTGTCAGCTTGAGTGCTAGAGCGTTGGGGGTTCGATCCACCAACTGTTTTTTGCCTGTAATGAGCATGGTTGTGTTGTGGTCAACAGGATGGTTGGTTTGAGTGTTTTCTAGATATATAGTAAAGACGTTTTCCATCATCTGTTACATTGTCCTTAGTATGCTTCCTATGATTTGGTGTACATTGGTGTACTCACCTAGTTGTGCTTGCGGGAGTTGAACTGGCTCTTTGGTCCCGCCTCTCAACTGTCAGTCAACTGGTGTACAGATTCCTGAGCCTACTGGGCTCTATCATATCTACATTTGAAACTGTGTATGGGGTCTGCCACCACCACATCACTACTTAATGCATTCCAATTGTTAACTACTCTGACACTGAAAAAAATCTTTTTAATGTCTCTGGCTCATCTGGGTACTAAGTTTCCATCTGTGTTCCCTTGTTCGTGTTCTGCTAAATAGTTTGTCTTTGTCCACCCTGTTAATTCCCCTGAAAATTTTGTAGGTGGTTATCATGTCTTCCCTTACTCTTATCTTTCCCAGGGATTTGATGTTCAGCTCCCTTAGCCTTTCCTCGTAGATCATACCGCTCAGTTCCGGGACTAGTCTGGTGGCATACCTCTGAATCGTCTCTAACGTTGTCTTGTGTTTAACTAGGTATGGACTCCAGGCTGGAGCTGCACCCTCCAGGATTGGTCCAGTATAGGTGGTATACAAGGTCCTGAACGATTCCTTGCACAAGTTTCTAAAGGCAGTTCTTATGTTGGCCAGTCTAGCATATGCTGCTGATGTGGGCCTCTGGGGACAGGTTCAGTGTGATATCAACCTCCAGATATCTCTGACTCTTGCAGGATACCACCTATCAGATGGTACATTGTGTTCAGCCTTCTGTTCCCTTCGCCTAATTTCATTACTTTACACTTTCCTGAGTTGAACTTTAGTAGCCATTTTCTAGACCATTCCATCAGTTTATCCAGGTCGTCCTGTAGTTTCTGTCTATCTTCATCTGTTTTTATTGTTCTCATAATAATTGCATCAGCAAACATTTAGAGGAACGAGTCTATACCCTCTGGAAGGTCGTTTACATACATTAGAAACAGGATGGGTCCAAGTACAGAGCCCTGTGGAAACCCACTGGGGACATCTCGTCATTCTGCTATCTCCCCTTCCCCCTCAGTTACTCATTGTTTCATGTTGCTTAGAAACTCCCTTATCCACTGGAGCACCTTACATTTTACTCCTGCCTGTTGCTCCAACTTTTGTAACAGCCTTTTGTGAGGTACTGTGTCAAAGGCTTTCTGACAGTCCAAGAAAATGCCGTTTGCCCACTCGTCTCTTTCTTGCCTGGTTTGTGTTGCTTGGTTCCTATTAAACCTGTGAGGCACGATTTACTATCTCTGAACCTATGCTGATAGTGTGTTACAAAGCTATTTTCCTCCAGATGTTCTAAGAGTCTTTTCCTCACAATCTTCTCCATCACCTTGCATGGTATACAAGTTAGGGAAACTGGCCTGTAGTTCAGCGCCTCTTGCTTGTCACCCTTTTTGTATATTGGGACTACATTAGCTGTCTTCCCGCTTTCCGGTAGTTTCCTGTTTCCAGTGACCTCTTGTATACCATAGAAAGTGGCACACTTAGTGCTTCTGCACCTACTTTTAGTATCCACATTGAGATTCTGTCAGGCCCAATAGCCTTTGTCACATTCAACTCCAACTGATTCCTTTTGACCTCAACTCTGGTGAGGTCAGATACCTCCAAGGTTGCTTGGTTTGCCTCCTCATTTAGTGCAGGGACTTCTCCTTGTTCTATTGTGAAGACCTCCTGGACTCTCTTGTTGAATTCTTCACACACCTTGTCATTCTGTGTATCCGTTCTCCCCTTTTCTCAGTTTCATCACTTGGTCCTTCACTGCTGGACACAGTCCTGATGTGGTTTTAGAGCAGTTTTGATTAAGTCTTTGGTATGAAAAAGACATCGCTTTGCTCACAATGTCATTTTCATACTGTCTCTGCTTCTTTCTTCACTCTGAGGTACTCATATCCCTGTGGTATCTCTCCCTTCTCTCTGATGTTCTGTTATTCCTGTAGTTTCTCCATGTTCTTTTACACACTTGCTTCGCTTCCATACATTCCTGATTGAACCATGGATTCTTCTGTTGCTTTCCATTTTTCTCTTTTTGTGCCAGGATAAGCCTATCTGTTGCTTCCTGGCACTTCTGGGTGACATAATCCAACATATCCTGTCCAATCTTTTTGCTAAGTTCTGTTTCTCGTGGTATTCCCATTAGGAAGTTCCTCGTCTCATCATATTTTTCTCTACGGTAATTTAGTATTTTCCCTTCCAATCACATACTTGGATAGGTTATCCCTACCTTTACCAGATACTCAAATGTCAATACACTGTGGTCACTCATTCCTATAGGGGCTTTAAATTTTACTTCCCTTAATTCTGACTCATTCAAAGTGAATATCAGGTCGAGTCTAGCTGGCTCATCATTCCATCTCATTCTTGTTGGTCCATTGACATGCTGGCTCAGAAAGTTCCTTGTTGTCATTAACAAGAATTTAGCTCCCCATGAATCCTCACCTCCATGTGGGTCCCCATTCTCCCAGTCTATCTTTCCATGGTGGAAATCGCTCATAATTAAGATTGGATCCATTCCTGCAGGCAACTGAAGCTGCTCTCTATTATATTAATGGTAGCCATGTTGTTTCTGTCGAACTCCTGTCTGGGTCTTCTGTCATTTAGTGGAGGATTGTAAATGACTGCCACTATTATCTTAGGTCCACCCATTGTCATAGTTTCTGTTATGAAGCCTCTGAATCTGTCGCAGCCCTGAATTTCTATCTCTTCAAAGCTCCAGTCCTTCCTTATCAGCAGGGCCACTCCTTCTCTCCCTTCCTCCTCTTTCCTTACTGTATAGTAGTCCTTTGGAAATGTAGCATTTGTTAGGACCCCCTGACAATTTTGTTTCTTTGAGTCCTATTACATCTGGGTTTTCTTCCTGTGCCCTTTCTGCCAGTTCACTTGCTTTGTTGGTAATCCCATCAATGTTTGAGTACATTACCTTTAAGTTCACTTTCCAATATCCTTTTTCACCTACCCTCTCCACTAGTGTAGGAAGCTGTTCGATGGGCAATGCTACTTGGGTAGGCTCATCCTCCTGTGGGGTAGGTACAAGGGGTTCCGCGGGAGGTGGGGAAGGGAGGAGGGGTGGGGGGTAGGAGGGGTTGGGGGAAGGGCTTAGAAATTGCTCAAGCCTGCTTGGGACAGGAAGAATTCCTAGGGGTGGAGGGGCAGGGAGTGCTCGAGGTTGGAGGCAGGGAGTGCTTGGGGTGAGGGCTCGTCCTCCTGTGGTGTAGTTAACAGGGGGGTTTGGAGGGGGTTGGGGTGGGGTGAGGGCTAGAGAACTTAGATCTTGCCTGGGTCTGCTTGAGGCAGGGAGTACTCATTGGATTAGGGTGGTATGGTGGACATTGTGTAGGGGCAAGGGAGGCGTCATGCTCGGGGTGGGGGTGGGGGGGGGGGGGAGCCCAATGGGGTGATGAGTTGTGACTTTGCAATCACCTCTGGGATTCCTGACTTGGTGGATTTTGGTTCCCCACTTCACTCTGGGATTGTTGGGTTGAAGGTTGAGGTTCACTGGCTCCCTTCCCTCAACCTGCGTCTTTTCCTTGCATCAGCTGCTTGTATCATCTCTTCCCTGGTCATGTCCCTCAGAAGGAAAACCTTTCTGTAATTCGTTACATATTTCAATTTGCTCTTCTTTACTAGGATGTTCTCTTTGATGTTCCTGAGTACTCCCTTGAT